CTGCACCTGCTGGAAACCGGGTCCAGCGACACTGGCCCATATGTTGGGTTTTTATGAACTTCAATCAGCCATTCTCACCTACCGCTGGGCCACCAATCCATATCATGAGGAAAGAATCGATGGACCTATATTGATGTATGCTACTTGACAATGTATGGCGACTGGGAGGCAATGTAAACCAGACTACCGTCTTCACCCAAATAGAACGCCCGGTAATTATCGCTGCATCTGGACCGAAAGTTGTGCCAAATACAGCTATAATGACCCGGCGTTCTATTCGGGTGAAGACGGTAGACATCGTGGTATAAGCATGTGCACGGTCCAGCCAGTATTACATTCAGAACATAATGAGAGACAACATTGGTTTATACATAGCAATATGTACACTCATCCTCAACAGATCCATGAGAAACAGTGTTGGCATTTTCACAGCGGTATTGTGCACATGTAAGATTCTCCCAATATTTTCTGTTCATCGGTCTGTAAGTGCGTTATTTGGCACACGCCATGCTCCACCCAAGTACCCAACTACCTTCTTCCCCCGAATAGAATGTATGGTCATTTTTGCTGAATGTGGACTCAAAGGGGAGCCAAATACGGATATAATGACCATACATTCTAAATGGGGGGGGGGGAGACAATAGCATCTATTTTTGACGGTCAGGGTCCAGGGTTTCCCTTGCAACCCGTCAGGCGCTACTTACAACAGACGGGTTGTCTGAGAATCCTCCTCCTTAGAGGTGGGCGTCTTATTTTAAACCACCAGCACTTGGCCCAGCTATTGAAGCCGAGCCTCCCAGCCCCCTGCGCGACAAGTCCTGCCGAACCGCTGTCGGTCATTTTTGTTTTCTTTTTGGCTGTGGCCTCCAGCCAATGCGGTCCGGTAGGCCGAAGCCCGAAAGCCGCAGCACGTTAACTGGAAAGCGCCTCAGCCGATAGCTGGGCCAGGTACTGGTGGTTTAAGCTGGAATACTTCCCTTCCACACCTCAATCAAACGGTACCAATAGGAATTTCTGGCTCCCATGAGAGCTGTATTATTTTGAATGTTGTCCACGTTAGATTATGGTGTAGCAATAACTGGATGATCCGTTTTGCTTGGAGCGCTCTCATTTGTAGATCAGGATCCAAAATACCCAATCTCCCTCGTTGTTGTTGTTGTTTTTGTAAGCACCTGTGAGAAGACTAATATTGGAGGTGATAAGAGCACCCTCCAATATAAGGCCCTCATTTGTGGATGGCTCCAATCTGTTGGCGGCTACGTGACACCCGCGGGCAAATCGTCCACCACGACTGGAAAAGTCCGCCGCGGCCGCGACCGCAGCCAACGAGGCCTACCTCGCGGCCCGTTTTTCGGATTTATTTTTTTTTGGTCACAAAACAAGTAAAAACAAAACGGGGTGGTAGGGTTTTGCAAATCCTCCAACCCGATTTTTTTTCTTTCAAATTTGACTTTAGTAACGATTTTTAAAAAGTGAAAAACGGAAATCGGTTAAAAAGAAAGAAAAGTTAGAAAACTAATAATAAAAGAAAAGCAGGATTTTTTTTAATTTTTTTTTTTGTGGAAAGGGAATGAGGAGATATCTCAAGGCTGTCGCCATTCGTAAGAGGCTGTCTCTTATACACATCTAGATGTGTATAAGAGACAGCTCTCTCTCTCTCTCTCTCTCGTCGAACCCGGCGACTGCACCCGCCAATCTCTACCCCTCTCTCTCTCTCTCTCTCTCTCTCTCTCTCTCTCTCTCTCTCTCTCTTCAAACCGTCGAACCGAGCCGCATCGAAACAGCAAAGCGTCCAGAATCATCACATCCGAGTCTAAAGATTCTAAACAGGAAATCGAAACACCACCGCCGAAAGTAGCACGTAAATGCAAAAAAGCCGAACCGGCGAAAGCCGTCAGGATCGCCGAGCAGGCCCGCGATGGACGGCCCGATAGAGGTTTCGGGAATCGTCTGGCGCGAATCCCGAAAACTCTCACCGGTTCGGCCTGGCCAAAAGTCTTACGCGGTGTCTGTCGGGAATCGTCTGGCGCGGATCCCGAAAACTCTCCCCGGTTCGGCCTGGCCCAAAAGTCTTACGCGGTGTCTGTCGGGCCCGCCTGCCGGTCCCACCACGTTTCCCAACAGTGGAGAGCGGCCTCTCGTTACGCGAGGACTGCTATTTGCTTAAAGAGTGTTAAACCACCAGTACCTCCCCGTTGTTTTTCAGAAGCTGCTGCCGTTAACGCGCCGCGACTTTCGGGGGTCGGGCTGGAGAACGCCCGGTAGCTTCCCGCACGACCTTTGCTTTCCCCAGGAAAAAAAAACAAAAGAAATGCAAAGAAAAAGAGAAGAGAAAAGGAAATCCTACTTTCTAAAACAAAAAGAAAAAATAAAAACAAAGAGAGAAAGAGAGAGAGAGAAAGAGAGAGAGAGAGAGAGAGGGCCAGAGGACACCAAACGTTCAGAACGAGAATGAATCTGCCCGCCATTTGGCAGAGGATTCATTCTCATTTTGCACATTCGTGGAGGGGAGAGAGAGAGAGACAGAGAGAGAGACCCGGCAAGTAGACGCGGCAGTCCGTGCAGCTCGCCGGTTCTCTCTCTCTCTCTCTCTCTCCCCGCGCTGTGAAGTGCAAAACGAGAATGAATCTTACCGCGTTCACTGCAAGATTCATTCTCGTTCTCTCTCTCTCTCTCTCTCTCTCTCTCTCTCTCTCTCTCTCTCTCTCTCTCTCTCTCTCTCTCTCTCTCTCTCTCTCTCNTTTTTTTTTTTTTTTTCTTCTTCTTCTACTCCTTCGCTGCTTTTGTTTTTTTCCCATCTTCTCTTCTTTTTGTTCTTCTTTTTCTTCTTTGCTTCTTCATCCTCTTCTTCTTTGTGTTCTTCTCTCTTCTTTGCTGTTTCTTTTTTTTTTTTATGTTCTTTTTTCCTTCTTCTCCAATGCTCTGCCGGGCTTTGCCAGAGCCACCGGCCAGTTCGGGGCAGCGCTGAAGGCGCTGGCCGAACAGCCGGTTAAGCTAGTAAACGGAAGAACCCCGGATGGAGGAGCAGGGAGTGGCGAGAGGCAGGGATCGGGGAGTAGGAAGAAAGCGGGGGAGGTAGGACAGCAGTAGTGAGAGGGGGGCCCCGGTTGCTGAGTGTAGGACAGGGCTGTACAGTAGATAGATGTGAGGGATGAGAGTAGTATAGGAGTGAGAGGAGAGGTCCCCGGTTCCGAATGCTGGAAGCCGGGCTGTACGCTAATAGCAAGTGGGGTGACTCGGGGGAAGGTAGGGGGAAGGTATAGTGGAGCAGTAGACGCGGTGAGACACGGGGGGAGGGATAGAAGGGAAGGATAGCGCAGGGTGGCGTGACGTGGAATAGTAAGGAGAGGCCGAAATAGCCGGGGGCCAGCAGGGCCGAAACCGAGTGACTGGGGGTGATCGAGATGCGCTGGTACCCAGAGGAAAAACTGACGAGGTGCGCAAAATGTAAGGCCGGTAGCCTTTTCGCAGCGTAGGCTCTGACAGCCGACCGGTACACGTGGTATTCGAAGTACCTGGCGCAGAGGGAGGCGCACACGTGAGGTAGGCGGGAAAGGAGCTAGCGTGTTGGGCTTGTCGAATCAGTTACGAGCGAACCGATCGGCACCCGCCCAGTCAGTTGCAGGGTGGCAGTCACAAGTGCGGACGTGGAGAGTGTGTCGGGTATGTGTGCAGAGGGCAAGGCCAGAAAGGCCCTCTTTGCTCTGGGCGGTATGCTTCGGTGGATGCGGGAGTGCGGGAAGCCCCTTGATAAGTCCTGGTGCGCAGCCAGGCGAAACACGTCGGGGAATGTGCGCGTTGAGCTCGTAGTCCGTGAAGGTGCTCTCTTGCATATTATTGTGACATGGATGCATAGCGATTGGCCTCGCTATTTCAATTCAATTTCAATTCTTCTTCGTCGGCGGTGGTCGTCACAGAGAGAGAGAGAGAGAGAGAGAGAGAGAGAGAGAGAGAGAGAGAGAGAGCATAGTGCCACAAGGCACGTCGCGGGGAAGCAGTGACGGAGAGAGAGACTCTGAGAGAGAGAGAGAGAGCTGCCACGTGGCAGCTTGTAAGAAATCGGCTGCCAAGTAGAGCCTGACAGTAGAGAGAGAGACGCACACACACACACACACACACACACACACACACACAGAGAGAGACCCACCTCACCAAATTTTCTTTCCTTTTTTCCAAATCGGGGGTGCACAAGCAGCACAACACGTACCAATCTCCGATTTGGGGGGGGGGGGGGAGTACTTTTTTTTTTAGACGCCTCTTACAACCAAATTATTGCACCCCCACCCATTTTTCTTTTTTCTTTTTTTTTTGGCGGGCTGGGGCGGCAGCGCGCATGCCCCGATCTCCGGCACACGACTCCGCCTGGCCGTGGTGCGGACGCGGGCAAACTCCGCTGCGAGGCTTCCGCCACGGGGTCTTGGCCGGCCGCCGGCCTCCTCGGCCACAGCCGAGGGTGCCACGTAGGTTGGCGGGAAGCTTCATGAGCTGGAAACCCGCTCCAGTGTTCCAGTCAGTGCCGTACCCCCGTTCACCGTTCACGGGGTCTGTGGACGGAATTTCAAGGAAACCGGTCATGAAGTTCATGGAGTTTTTTTTGGCTTGGGGGGCTTTTCTTTTTGGCTTTGGGGGCTTTTTTTTTTTTTAGGAGGGTGGGGGTTATTGCAACTTATCGAAGGGTAACCCCCCATAATTTTTTCATGTTTTGTTTTTTCGAATAATATTTTTTTTAATTATAAACGAAAAACAAAAATCAACCAGCCAAAATAAACATTTTTGTTTGCTATTTGTAAGTTATTTCATTTTTTTTTTTTTTTAATGTCATCACCCTATGGGGCTTGAGGCAATTGTAGTTGGGTGGGCGCCCCAAAAAAAAATAAAATAAACCCACTCTTTCATGGTCGGCCGGTCACGTTCAAGTGACCGGTGCCAGTCAGTGGCAGTCTCGTTCACGGTGACGGCACTGGTTCCAATTACAAGACCAGACCAAATTGTTAATTGGGACTGATGAGCAGCATTGATTGCCCCCTCCGGAGGGCAGCGAGGGGATTAACTGCTCATTGGACAGAGATGTGACCTCAGTCACCTCACCACCTCTCTTCTACTTTCACCTTGCTGCCGTCACCGTCCCGAGTCCCGACCCACCATGCCCTTGCACCATGGGGAAATGCACAGCTACCAGCTACTACCTTCCTTCCCCTGCTCCGTATACCTCCTATTAACACGGAGTCCGTGGACCCCTCCTTAGCCTCCTACCCAGAGAACCATCGTTTTCTTTTTTTTTTGTTGAAAAAAGGCTGCAATCTATTCATGGGGAGCAGCACGTGCTGAGAACTGGGCTCGGCGTCCCTTGGAAATACATAGGAGAAATGGTCCAGAGAAACATCGTACTATGAGTCTATGATACTACTATCCAATCTACCACATCTCAAATACCGCTGCCCTCTCCACCGCCCACAACATGACTCATAGGTCGTCAACCATACCCCCGAAAAATGGATCTTACCTGTCGGGGGGAGGAGAGAAAGGACATCATATTCGCAAGATCACCTCCGGCTCATAATATGTAACAATGTCATGGTCTTTGATTGCTTGAGCACAGAAAGGCTGACCAGAGAAGCGCAAAACGCCGCAAATTATCACATGGGAGGACGTATACTATTCAAGGCCATCCATACCTCCTCCCCACTGAGCCCACTCTACTGCTGTTGTCTTGTGCAGCTACGATCAGCACGATCATCTGCCGCATCTGCTCTGAAACATGTCCTCTCTCCCCCAGCCAATCTTTGCCACTCAAACAAGAGGACTCAGGTACCAACATCATATGACGCATATGGGGAAACCCTCCTACCGGTAGACTACGTGCAGAAGAAGTTTATCACAGGGGCGCCTGTCCATACCTCCCCCTCCATTTGTTATTTGTAAGATGTACAACATTGAGCACAAATATTATCAACCAGGTCGCGCGCATGATACAAAGTGAAAAAAAGAAAATTGAAATCATCCCCAACCCACCTCGTGAGTCGCGATTGATCCAGAGAGAGAGCTGTCCATCCACATTGTGCAACGAACTCGCCTCCAACCGCCAGATTATAGGGATGATTGAAAAAAACTGCAGACACCTCGTAGTCGTGAAGCGATGGGGTGTCCGCTTCTATCATCATCATGGTTGCTTACCATGGGGGGAGCCCGGTGAGGACGAAATTTAAAGAACTTGAACCCCACCCAAACCCTATAACCCTCCCTCCTAGTTCATGCAGAATTCCCCGTCATAGAGGGGAAAAGGATATACTCGCCTACTGTACCACAATTATCCCAAATTCCATGCACCGAGAGGGAGGCATAGTCGCTATTATAATGCACCTCAGACTCTACACCCAAACTCTGCCTAGTCCTTGCATCGCCGGGGGAAGGGAGGGACCCAGGGAAGTATTCACCCAAGAGTTTACTCCTCTCCCCAGAGTCCCCACAGCCTCTTGCTAGACCATCCCCTCTGGAATTATTTTGTGGAGTCCCTAGCCTGGTTTCACTAATCACCATCCATTGCATCCAATTGTTTTGTTCCAATTAATTCCCTTTTTTAATGGTAATTGGAACGCATACACTGCTCTAGTCGCGGTGAAGCCATGAACAGAAGAGTCTGAAGCTCTGATAACAGTGATAAGTACTGTTAGATCATCAGCAAAAGGAATTGTAGCCGCCGATATATGAATCAGATGACAAATTTCCAGCAGGTGCACCTCCCCACCAATAGACTGGAGCCCCCAGTATGTCAGGTAGGAGTGTATGCTCCTATCATCACTCCTAAAAAAAAAAAAAAAAAAAAAAGATGACAACACCAATGCCCTGTCGACTGCAGCAATTTACCTCTGCCGCTCTTCAAAAGATCACACTGCCTCAGCATCCTTGTCTCCCTCTCTCACTCACAGACGGTTACCCTGAGAGAGAGAGAGAGAGAGAGAGACGGTTCCCAGCACAGACTTTCATGCACATAGTTTCCTTGCAACTTGAGTGGATGCCGACACATAGGACACGATGCGTGTCTGTTATGCTGAAGGCAATGAGATTGCCAGGCCTGTAAGCACTTCGTATGAAATTCGTGATTGCACTCCGTCTTTGTCTTTTCACCAAACGAGTCTTCGTGGCAGATTGCACAGGACTCTTTGAAATAAGAGCCTAGGCGCACCATGATGAGGAGCGAATCCCATCCGGTTGCGTTCTTCTGCTCGTCACTAAAGCGGTGATAGCGGTAGCCCAATGCCTCTTTCCAATCGCTACTCAGGTGCACCTTGTCCGATGACTTGATGCCTTCATACCTCCACTTGCAGGAGTAGAAACCACAAGTTATGGGTGTGAAACTCTTCGCGCATATCGGACAGCAACCTTTGTCCGTCGACAAGTTGAAAATATTACGGAAGCTTCCGTCGATCACCATATGGTCAAATGCTTTGCAGTCCTTGTTCACACACTTGCCTTCAACATTTAGGCCGTAGTTGCATACTCGCCAGTCAGGCGCATCGTCGGAAAAGTCCAACGTCTCCATACAGTCCTGTCGACTGACGTCAGCGAATGGCGCTGCTCCTCCAGGACCTCCACCGCGTAGTCGTAGGACAATGGCAATAACACTCTCCTTCTGAATTTTGTAATCAGCAAGCATCTTGCGATCTTCGAGCTGTTTTCCACCAAAGATAAGTCGTTGTTGATCTTGAGGGATCCCTTCCAAATCGTGGATCCTGTCTTTGAGTTCGCACACCCTATCGAACAAGTCCACTTCCACTGTGAAGATCTTGTCAGTTAGAGTCTTCACGAAAATCTGTACCCCACTGGAAAGAGCTGGCAGACACCGGAAAAGGAATTTAGAAAAGAAAACACTCACAGGCACAGTGGTTGACGACCATTAATATATCAAATGCAGCACTGTCAGATAATCCTCTGGAATCATATAACTATCAAAAGTTAAGTGATTGTTCATCAGAAGTTTTATAATATAAAGCTCTTCAGATAAGAATTGAGTCACCAACCTTTTGATCTCGACAGCATCTGCTCTGGATCCTAGACACCGGACTTGAACATCCAGCACAGATTTCCAAGAAAGGACATGCACACTAGGATTTTTCGGCCTGAATCTGACTGTCTTTGTTGTCAAAAAATCCCGAAAGGTCGCGGGGTGAGTAGTGTGCAGTGTGCACCCTTTAAGAAAGCAACGCCAATTTGAAAGAAGAAGAAAAGAAAAGAAAAAGAGAACTTCAAGGAAGAGAAGCACAAGAACTGTTACAGGTTGTTAAAAAAAAAAAAAAAAAAAAAAAAAAAAAATGTTAGGTTGGCTGCATGGTGGGCCCAATGCCACCTGAGAGCATCGAACCGTAAGTAACTGATCCTCAGCGTAGATTGATTTTTTTTTTTTTTTTTTTGGTAAGACTTACCTTATTGATCATTATGTTTTGCATTTCTCTCAAAAAAGATCTTCATCTGGTTGTTACACATTCTCTAAGAGCATACATATCACTAAGACGAGGGGCCAAATCGTCTAAGCCCCACTAGTGGGGAGTTGGAATTGGTTTTGAGTACGCACCAGTTCCTGCCATCGCATCTGAGATTCTCACGGCGGTACTGTGTGGGCACGTTGAAGAATACTCCAAAGGATGACTAACCCCCCCCCCCCCATGTGGGACTCGGCCATTGGAAGGTCGGTTTCTGCGTAATCTGGTTGACGTTGGTGTTTGATACACCCAGGCCACTCTGTGAGTCTGTGAGACACAGTCAGGATGCCGGTGTGAGTATAGTCGACAGAAGGGCACAGCCGCAAGCTCTGATGGCGGCAAGGCTTTGGAAGGGGTTTTCCAGATCCCACTTATTGTGGGACGCCTTGGGAACATATCCAAGGACCAGCACCAAGATTGCACGAGATCAGAGAAAGTCTACACCAGCCGGAAATGGGAATAGAGACAGTTATATGCCCCAGTGTCAACGGTCCATAGGACCATGGGTGTACCGTGTAGTACGTCGTGTACCAACTGAGCGAGGCCCATTGGTAATACTGTCTTCCCTGAGCACAACGCACCGGGTCCTTCATTATGACTGCATCCAACCCAAAAGATGCCATTGGCTTGTATAGGTTCAGATTCAGGGTGCTTTATGTTCGTGGAATCCAGTAGGTGTCCAAATTTCGCTGACCAATTGCTCTGCTGCTCAAGATGGTATTCCACCAGATAAGTCTCTTAAAAGAATCAGGAGTTCGCCTCGAAGTCATCGCCAGTCGCTCCTTTTTCCGGAGGGCACTGGTACTATTATCGTCAGCAGCCTTTTCCCTACTGTGGTTTCCTCATGCAGTACCTCTGTTCAGCGATCATGGTGCTTCAGTGACCATGGTGCTTATGGTCACATCAAGCGGCAGGCCGCCACATACCTGTGGAAACCTCTGGCCTCTGAAGACAGAGCTTCATAAGTGCTCCATCCACATTTAAAGTTGCATGGATTTAATTATTTTTTGAAGAAAAAGCGGGGGCTTGGGAATTCTTGACACCCGCTGTCAGAATTTTTCTCTATTGTTGGTCAAATGACTTGTCAAAGCAATGCTGCAATCTCTGCCGGCTCAGTGTATCCAACTGGCCTAATATATTTAGGCCAAGGAGCGGTCCCAGTAGGACAAAAAAAACCATGTATGGATCTGTTTTCTCATATCCTCCTTTGCTCACAGCAAGTTGAAGTCTCAGGTACGGAATGGATTTTTATTATTATTATTATTATTATTATTAGGGGCAAGTACGTTTGTGTCACAAACGAAGTTCAAAAGGGCAAAAAAAACAATAATGGGCAACGAAAAAATGGCCGTAGTTCGAAAAGGCAGTCATAACATCAGA